GTTATTTAACTAGAGTTTAAATACTCGAGTGACCAAATCAGGTCTATCATTCGCAGTCTGACCCGGATATAAATTTTCTGTTATTTCACGCCATTTTGGGTTGCAAGTAGAAGTAATAAAAAGATCTGGTTTACCATACTTTTTAACAATTGCCATAGCATCTTCAAAGTTTTCTTTTAAAGCTCTAGGACTTCCTGCATAAGATGATGGCAAAACAACTACTCGCCCTGGTCTAATTTGTGTTGGTTCGCAATGTTGTTAACATGTTCATGTAAGGCATCATACTGCTCGCTTCTCAGTTTATTTTGATTATTTCTGATAAAAGCAAGACTCTGGCCTTCAATTTTTACATATGCATCTACAGCATATTGCTGAAATAGTTTCTTGCCATAAAATAATGAACAGAAAAATTGCCAAACAGAAAGTCTATAATTGTAGAACTGAAATAATGTAACATGATTTCTAACTAGTATGGCACGCTCAGGGTTATGCACTAACTGATTATGCCAACCAGCATCACCTCTTGGGAAAAATAGCGGATAAACCATAGGATCCAAGTTGACTGACATACTTGATACAATTTTTAAAGGATGACCTCTTGGATAAATAACAACTTCCCTGGAAGTTGGGGGAGCACCATCTTTGCCAACAAATACAACTTCATCATGTGAAGGTAGATTATAGCGATGTCTATCACCCCCTTCAAGTAAAGACATTTTTAAAACAGAAGCTTGGCGACCTTCTATAGCCGCTTGACGAATTTCTTCATCTTCTATTTCAGCCATGTTTTTAAATGCAAGAGCAAATGGACTTTGTTCAGTAATTATAGTTTGCAATTGCAACATTAAATCACGTAAACAAAGATCATTACCACGTTGTTGCATTCTAAAATTAACTGCTGCAAGTTTTTCATAAATATATAGTTGAGAATAATTTGATAGAATATCTTGATCTGGCCTAAGATTACCTACACGATGATAAATCTGACCACATATTTTAAAACATGGAGGCCCATGATTTATTGGTTGAACTACATCTGCTTTAAAAGAAGCAAAAGAAAGACAGGCATTATAATTTCGAATATGTTTTAGAAAATTGCCATTAGCATTACGATCT